GATTGCGCCACTGCTCTCTAGCCTGAGCAACAGTGATACTGTCTCAAAAAAAAAAAAAAAAAAAAAATGGTACATTAGCCTGACATGGTGGTTTGCGTTTGTAGTCCCAGCTACTTGGGAGGCTGAGGCAGGAGTATAGCTTGAGCCCTAGAAGTTAGGCTGCAGGGAGCTGTCATCGTGCCACTGCACTCTAGTCTGGGCAATAGATCAAGATCCTGTCACGAAAAATAAATAAATACATAAAATTGTTTCAGTGAAAAGTCTCTTCATCCTCTTTCCTCTAGCCACCGTTGCTTTCTCAAAGGCAATTAATGGAGCAGTTTGTTCTATCTTCTTCTTGAGATATTCTATGTATATGTGATAAAATCCATCCATCCATCCATCCATCCATCCATCCATCCATCCATCCATCCATCCATCCCATCCGTCCATCATCATATCTATTATCTATCTACCTACCTACCTATCTATATTTAGCTATCTTTTTCTCCTCTCTCCATTTTTTTTACACTAATGGCAGCATACCATACAAACATTTTTCACTGAGCAATATATCTTGGAGATGGTGCAGTACGAACATTTAGAGAGTGCCATCATTCTTTTATATTGTGGCATTCTGCTGTTTTCAGGTAACATACTGCATTTAACCAGTTCCCTGTAGGTGGGCATTTAGGTTTTCCCCCATCTTTTGCTATATTACAAACAATGCTGCACATATGTAATTTAAAAATATGCTTAAGAGTAATCTGTATTTCTTTTTCTGTGTGCAGTCTTTTTTATAATGTGTCCATTTTTTATAATGTGTCCATTACTATTAGGTTGTTAGTCTTTTCCTTATTGATTTCTACATGTTTGTATATTAGAAATCAGCCCTTTGTCTCTGATGTGAATTGCATTTTTTTCTTATTATTTGTATTTTGATTTTACTAATGGTCTTTGTCCCAATTCTAAAATTTCCCAGGAAGAGACTAATTGGATTAAAACACCCACTCTTGGTTAAATGTGGTGAAAGAAGTGGGTGATTTTTCAAAACCCTGGAGTCTGGTCCTATAGAATTGGGGGAAGAGTTCTATTTGGGGCATCCAGAAAAACTTTACAGGATAAAAGGGCATTTGAGTTGGGTTGTAAAACACAAATGAAAGTGAATGACTAGGTTAGTCAACGGTTCAACATCCCTGGAAA